CACACATAGTCGCAAATTGCAATCGCCAATTAGGATTACGCCGGATGGTCGGTCGGTCGACGATATTCGCGGTATTACGTTTCGCAAGCGCGTATATCGAATTCGAAGCCTTGATATCGACCGCGACACTCATCATCCGGGATCACGGCCCATAATCCGAATCGATCCTGCGTCAATAGCTAGGCATACAAGAGCCGGTTTTTTTATGGATTTGGCCCGGTGGGTTAAATCCGAAGGATTAAACCCGGTGGATTGAGTCCAACGGGCCTGATTTCTCGTTGTCCACTAACGTGACTTTACTCTCTATCTGTTGTTCGCACAAAAATTTCAGATTCGTTAATTGGCGACTTAAAAATCCGCCAAAATAAAAATTCCATTAGACTCTTCCTAACGTCGCTATGACTCTAGAAATTTATTCTAGAGTCACTGTTAACCGCCGCCAGGCAGAAACGTCAAGTTGAATATGGCTGATTCATACGCTTGTTTCCCGCGAGGAAAATTTGAAATCCGAGTTAATTCGCAATGGCGCAATTTCGTCAAAACCTTTTAATCGCGATGTAATGACGCAACGCCTCTCCAGTGACGCAAGTGCATTCGATAATGCGCGATCGTCCCGGCTCTCATTCGCGACGCAAAGTACGCCAATTCCGAATTGGCAGGTTCAAAGCAACAATTGCGCGCGTTATTTCGCATTAGCACAAATAAAGTGATTGTGCGTATCCAGTCCTTCTCTAGCGATCCCTGTCTATCCCTCCCTCCTTCTTGTTCTCGTACGCGTTTCACCCTTTGCGTTTCTCCCCGTCGTTCTCTCCCCCCTCTTCCCTTTTCACTCGACATCACGCGTTTCCCTCCGGCCCACGCTCGATTTCCGCGTTCTCTCTTTGCCCTCGTTCCAATCCGCCGCATGCCTCTTCTCTTCGCTCGTGCTCCCGGCACGCCAGCACTTTTCCCGTCGCTACAGTTTGCATTTGATTAATTTTGCGTTCAATTGCAGTTAATTCGACGCCGATTAACCCCGCTTCTACCAAGAAAGCGCGTACGCGAAGAGAAAGAAATAGCATCGACTCAGAGACGATATAGACGTATATATGTGTTTATTTGATCCGTGTTGATAGCGTGATCTCGAATTTTCTCTCTCTCTTAGGAAAAGATCTTACATAGGTCACTCTTTGATAAAAAGAACGAAAGAGCTTGTCCTAATGTTTTCGCAAGCAGAAAAGAGGCACGCGATCATTTAATGGAGGTAGACGTGCGTAGGAATGGAAGTGTCAAAGTCGACGGTTCCCAGCGGCCGGAGTTAACGCGCCCGTTATTTCGGAAGGTACGAAACACGCCAATGACAAATTGAACGTGTCGCAGCTTTCAGGAAAATTTTGGAAAAAATTCTTCCTTTTTTCGTCCGTTACACG